TATCCTGATAACTACTTTCAGGATTGTAAATTTCCTTGCTCTTCGATCCTACCTTCTTATTCATACACGCATTTTCATTTTACTTTTAATACGGTCATTAATATAATTTAATTCACTAGATTCATTAACATTCCAATGTTAAATGTAGGGCTATGCACCACTCAATTCAGACTTTGAGAATTTTTATGTCCGTCGTCTCAAACTTCGAATTAATGATGTTTTTAATCGCCCAGTTACTGGAGTTCCCGGTCGAAAGATTAACTTACTAGAACGTAAAACTGATAACTATTGTAAAACATTTCAATTAACTGGTAATACTAAGGAATGTTTAAATTTAAGTAGCTATAATTATTTGGGTTTTGCGCAATGTGAAGGTCCCTGCGCTGATGCAGTGGAACAGACTATAAGAAAGTATGGAATTTCATCATGTAGTTCTCGAGCTGAAGTTGGTAGGATTTATTGGTCTATTTTATATTAGGATTAAAATATGATTTTATATTAATTAATCTTTATTCGATACAAACAGGCTCTTTAGATCTTCATCTACAAGTAGAGTCCCTTGTTGCAAGATTTGTAGGAAAAGAGGCTGCTATGATTATTTCTATGGGTTACGCAACAAATAGCACTACAATTCCAGCCCTTGTATCAAAAGGTTGCCTTATAATTTCTGATGAATTAAATCATAGCTCCATAGTTTTTGGCAGCCGTCTTTCTGGTGCATTTATCCGAGTCTTCAAACATAACAATATGAGTGACTTGGAAGCTTTATTAAAAGAGTGTATTAGTCAAGGCCAACCACGTACGCATCGTCCGTGGAAGAAAATCTTGCTCATTGTGGAAGGGATCTATTCAATGGAAGGAAGTATATGTAACTTGCCAAAAATTCTCGAACTTAAACGAAAATATAAGGTATTTTTAAAATTGATAATAATAATAATAATAATAATAATAAAAGAAATCATTCACAATATTAGACAATATTTAGACTCAATTTTTTCTTTTTATTAACTGTCATCTTATCTGTCGTCTCTTTCTTTTACGTTTAAAAGTTTTATCTTTATGTCGATGAAGCTCACAGCATTGGCGCATTGGGGCCACGTGGTCGTGGCGTATGTGACTATTATGGTGTCAATCCTGATGAAGTAGATATATTAATGGGCACGTTTACCAAATCATTCGGTGCAGCTGGTGGATATATAGCGGCCAACAAAAATGTAATTGACTACTTACGTCTTTCATCTCATGCATCGATCTATGCCGAATCAATGACACCTCTTGTACTACAACAAATTTATACATCAATGTCAATTATAATGGGTGAGGACGGAACAAACGAAGGCCGGGAGCGTTTAGAACGCTTGGCTTTCAATGCACGTTACCTTAGTACAAATCTACGACGATTAGGTTTTATTATTTATGGGGATTATGATTCTCCAATTATTCCTCTTATATTATTTAATCCCGCAAAAATTCCGTGAGTATTATCACACCCTGCCTAATCGATATTTATTAAATTATCCTAATTATTCTTGTCGCCTATAATTTCTTTCAGTGCATTTTCCAGAGAATGCCTAAAACGTAACATTGCGGTAGTGGTCGTTGGTTATCCAGCAACGCCAATGATTTCATCACGTGCTCGATTTTGTATTTCTGCTGCACACACAAAAGAAGACTTAGATGTTATATTACGAGCATGTGATGAGATTGGTGATATTTTACAACTTAAATTATCAAGCAACCCAAAAAGACTGACACTTGAAGAAATATTGAAAAAGGGGGAAGAAGGGCTATAAATGCCAAACTATATAACCTTTATTAAAAATAATCAAATTGCATATAGAAATGATGATAATATTTAAAAAAAGGTCTATATTGTGATCTTTTGGTTAATGGATTTGAGTTTACTAATTTGATTTAATATTTTGTATTGGTATTAAATTTTTTAATTACGTTGCATACTGTCATGATTTTTTTTAGTATATAGAATTTTCTAGCATAATCACTTCTCATCAGATCGTACATATTTGTTTTCGATTTAGAGGAATAATTATGATTAACAAGAGATTCATTTACGATGGTCTTATAGGAAATAGAAGATTTCCATCTGACTTCCTAATCCACATTAATAAATACCGAATTACCTCTATAAAAACTTTAACCATATCATACTGAATATCTACTTATTGTCATTTCCGATATTCGAATAGTCTCAAAGTCGGCCAGTAGGTTTTAAACCAATCCCCAGAAAATTGCCGAAATTTAAATGACCCCCCACACTAGTTCTGTTCATTAACGATAAACCTAGTGTCTGGTTTTCTTGAAAATTTTGTGAAAAAATTTCTAGCTAAAATTTTAAATTGATATAATTTTAAATTTATACATTTGAACCACTGGCCACATTTTCAATAATAATTTATAAATAAGTATAGGTTCGAATTTCAGATTCCAAATAGCTCCAGATTAATATTTTTGGATAACAAAAAAAAAAAAAAACATTAAAAAATTATAAAATCAATTTACAAATAAAAATATTCCTTTAAAAATATATTTTATTGATATTTAAATTCAACAATACAAAGAAAAGAAATAAAAAACCATAGCAATAATAAAATTTCAGGAATTTCAGAGAATTGATAGAAACGCAATTTATTCATCAACATCATCTGCCTCTTCTGCCTCTTCCAACCATTTCGCGAATGGCTTCGCCTTGTTACGGATTTCCTGATTGATCGCGGCGTCAACGTAATTAACTGACGCAGTTCTTTTAAAGAGATTTTGATAAGTCTCGGAACTGTCACCTTCGAGCCACGCCTGGAACACATCTTCGTCAAGTAAATCATTCTGATAATAGCTCATCAAAATACTACAAATGATCCTACTATCCATCAAATCTTTATGTTCAGAAACAAGTATTTCGGTAGCTCCAAGAAGAGCCCTTTGATCATCAAAATTGTGGACGAACTATTAAAAGAATAAATTTATCAAATCGTAAATAAAACAAAATATAAAACAAAATAAAATAAATCATAAGATGTTAAATATTACCTTTAGGAAAAGTTTGGCCTTTTTGTGAATTTGTTTATTAATAGTGGATGTATTGCTCTGAAAACTTTTTGCAAAGAGGCCAAGAACAAGGTGTTTCAGGACCTTATCTATTTCCTTGGAGATACCTAGCTCCTTAATTTTCCTATATATATCATTGCTGCTGGCAGATGTGGCATTTTTCTCCAACCATTTATCGATTTGTTCGTAAGGATCCCCACCCTCTTCGTCAGACGCGCTATCGTTAATTGCAATGTTAGAAAACTCTTTAGCACGTCTTGCGACAGCATCCGCAGAAGAATCAAGAACCCAATCGTCATCAACTTTATATTCATCTGCGGTAGGAAGATTAGCAGCTTCACTCTCGATGCGACGGGTAAGTTCATCATCCGTTCCTTCAGAAGAAGAACCTTTCGTAGTGGGAGATGTCTGTTCGTCGTCTTCACCTTTCTTGTTCTTCTTGTCTTTCTTATTACCTTTAGATTTGACAGTAGGCGGATTTTTTAGGATGTAGGTAACGAGCTTGTGACGCATATCAACATCAGTTCGTTGACCGCAGGCTTTGCAATCACGGATGATCTTCTGATTATTAGGATTTTTACCGATAATAATCTATGAAGTAATTAAATAATTTAGTAAAATGTTACGTTTAACCTTGTGAATAAACAACAACATAATTATAACATACTAAATCAGTCTCAGGGTTGCTACAGCCTGCACAAAGCACATATTTTTTAATGAAGACGTCGAGCAATTCTTGGAGCCTAGCAGCTTCATGGGCGCCATTAACAATGTAACGATCGTTTTTTTCGTCAACTTGAATTTGTGCACCAAGCTCACACCCAAAGAATTTAGTGGGGTCTATTAAATAAACAAAAAATAGCTTTAATATTTGTAAAACTATATATCATAAATCGGATTGAATTTAGTATAAAAACATCATCTAACTCTCATATTGCACCGTATAATTGATTAGTAATACATCTTACTAAAAACCTTAGTAGTGCTATATAACACTTAGACAGCATTTCTTACACTAGATTTAACTCAATAAACTAATTACTTACAGGTCGGCGGGCGACTCAAGGAACGCGCAATGTCTGACATGTTGGGGACTACAGTTTTGATTCCGTTACCTTTACCTTCGATCTGCAAAAAAAAAAAAAAGTTAATTTATAGTTTGATCTTTTAACATTCATCGAATATGATAGCCCAAACTCGCTATAGAATAATTAAAATACCTTAGAAATAAGTTTAGGCATTTTGTACCGATAAAATCGGTCTTGATTATTACCACCGATGTTAATAGTAGCCATGATTGCAATCTAACTTTTACAATGCTATGAAGTTATACGAAAACAGAGGTGAGGGCAGAAAAAGTACAATAAAATTTGGAAAGTATTCTAATTTGAGGTAGCGTCTTCTGTGTTTCGCAAATCTCCAACTATTTTTCGTTTTAGGTCATTGACCTCTTACGTTTATGTCTTTGTGAACGTTTTCTATGTAAAACTTGTGGACGCTGCTTTTGATTTTGATTGTTTCCAAGTAATGAACAAAACATGAAGCGGTTGGTTCGCAATATTAGTTGTGTGAGAAAAAAAAAAACCGGTCTGATAAAGTTGCTGGTTTGTAGTTGAGCCTATTAAGACAGAATAATGTTAAAAAAAATTTTTTTTTTTTGAAAAAAAAAAAAGGTGCACCTATTTATATTTAAACATGCATTACTATATTGGTTTTTGTCATACTTTTGTCATATCAAAGAAAAATTACGGGAAATCAGATAAGAGAAATCTCCGTTTAAAGTGATTTAACTGGCCAATTATTTACATGTAATCACAATGCCGGCTGTTTGTTATGCCATACAAGGTGAAAATTCTACGTATTACCGTTGACCACTCGGAGTTATGTGACAAGAAATTCGCTTTGTGGTGGCTTAACCATGAACGTGTAAGTTTTTCGTGATAGCACCGGAGTTTACAATACATTCTTGACTATTTATTATTGCGGTGCATTACGTACGTACGTACGTACGTAAGTATCTATAAAAAAAAACTTTTTTAATAAAGTCAGCAAGTTAATAAAAAATCGAATTATTAACCAATTTTATACATATTTTATACAATATTTAAGTGGTACGCATGTACATCTTATAATAAACAAAATTGGAAATTCATGTTTTTTCTATAGTACAGAAATGGGGCTTATTTTTTTTATAATAAAAGTTGTAGAGCTAATTTTTCTGATTCTAATGGTGGTAAATTTACTTCTTAAGAACTTACTATATAAGGGGGACGTCTAAAGCAGAGGCAAATCATGTGACAAACCGCCAATCAAATTATAGAATTTTGATGGTCGCCCGGTGGAGCAACCAAAATTCAGCAGATCGACCAAAATTTAGGGTCGGAATAGGCCCGGAGCTAGGCCGGCATTAAGCAATAATA